GTGCGGTTTATTCTACAAGTCGTCATTGTTTGTTCTGTTTATTCTCTCTTATCTCTCCAGCCGCAAAAATGTGGTGTGATGTGTGGTAAGACGTGAAGTACTTTACCTTGTTCGGTCTGTAGAATTTAGGAGAAAAAAAAACATTAACAGTATGAACAAGTGCTGAAACTTCCAACTTAAAATGATTTCTTTATAAAGTTGGGATATTGTAAACTGGTTTAACAAAGACAGAGGTACTCACTGTTTTGCCATTTTGCCCCAACTAGATAAAAACCAACCTCCAAATGTTCCTCCAATCGTCCAAGTCCTTCTTTTTGTACCAACTTGTTTCCTCAGCTCCCTGTAACTTTGAAAAATCTATCTATATAGTTTTAAATATTTTGAAGCTGTAAGATGTTGCATTTACATCAAGCTAATGTTTGTGATGCTGATCTGACAAGTGGCAAATGTCATTTAAATTTAAAGGCTTTTTTTTATGACGCTCAGGGTTTTAAAACATCTGACATTTATATCTCCACCACACCCATGTTATTGGTCTTTACCCTCATGATCCTCTTTTATTGATATACCAAACATTTTAGAATACAAAACTGAAAATGCATCAAAATTTCTTAAGTCAAATTAACAAATCTAAACGTATAAAGAAGTGAAGAAATGACAGGATGTTAGAAATAAATCAGTATTAGAAGTTACTTCTGAAGAAAAATTCAGAGGTAGCCTGAATGTTGCATGTTTAACCTGCTCTTTAGACAGAGATTTATAGTGTACTCTATTTGAGGACTACAAAAACATCAAATGGCCAAAAGATGGCAATGTTACTCAACTCTCTATGGTAAAGTGTGCCCTGACCATTTGATGAAATAAATGCTCTGCTGGAGAAAGTTTTAACAGGTACTGATCTTTTTTGTGTTGCTTTTGTCATAACTTTCAGAAAGGAAACACAAGAAACCCTCAGACTGTAAAAGATTTTCTCATTCTATGATGACAAAAATGTTCAGCCTCATGATGTATCCAGAAGCATGTAAAGTCTGTCTGTCTGTCATCATTCTATCCAAAAATAAAAGATGAGACTATAATATGTATATATTGACCTCCAGTAACATCCAGAAATGAGCACATTGCAGATGTGTGTCTATTAATGCCAGTAGCTCAGTCTGTAGGGGCTTGGGTTGGGAACCAGAGAGTTGCCAATTCAAGTCCCAGTGTGGACCAAATATGGAAGTTGGTCTGGTAGCTGGAGAGGTGCCAGATCACCTCCTAAGCACTGCCAAGGTGCCCTTGAGCAAGGCACCAAACCCCCTCCCCACCATCAGCTCAGGAGTGCCCGCTGTGGGCAGCTCCGTCACTCTGACATCTCTCCATTAGTGCTTGTCCATAGGATCCTGTTTGTGCATGTGTGTGTTGCATGGTTAACAGAGTGTAAAAACAGAAATTTCCCCTTGCAGGGATCAATAAAGTTAATCTTAATCTACTTTTTCTTGTGAGATTACTTCTGATTGCAGACATAGAAAGTTGTTCAGGATGATATGACTTTATTCCCAGGTCAGGTATCTTTATAGGGCTTATAAATATCAATTTTTATCATCTAATTTCTGCCGAGGTTTAAGTTTTCTTTTAAACTGAAAGAAGGATGTCAAACTGATTCTCCGTGCAGCAACACAGATCAAACTTAAATGACAAATTGTAATCTCATGTTTGTATAACTATTGATTTTTCTTAAAGTCAATGATGTACTAAAACTGTAATATCTGGTACTTTTTTAGGCTACTTATTTTGACATATTCACAAATTCACAAATCAGTACAAAACCACAAAAAACCACAAATCAACATAAAGCAAATCAACATAACGTAAGGACAAAGGAACGCAAACTCTGAGTTCACATGTTTGTACACAGGATCTGATGTTGTTTCAAAAGTTGATCCTCTTTGTAGATGTTGTGAATGATTTTAGCTGATGCCAAATAGGAATATTACAGAGCTTGATAAATAATGTCAAACCAATCAGAATAATTTCAAGTAAATTCCTAATTTTTGTTTTTAAAACTATCATTAATACATGTGTTGTATTGGAAATAATTCATAATATATCAACAAAATAAGAATGAAGTAAGGTGAAAGATCCATTTTACACTCACATGGAGGTTTTTGTTGTTCTCTATAGCAGGTCAGGCTTGGTTTGGATGGAAGATGAAGTAACAGACCTGAGCGCAGGCTTTTATAAAGTTGTGGCTTAAACAGGTGTGGCAAAGAAGTCAGATATCGGGATGCAGATTAGATGGTGTAACCCATTGGTGTTGATCTAGACCAGGATAGGGCAACTTTGGTCACAGCAAGGGCCACATATATTTAATTCTCACTGTCAAAGGGCCAAATTGTAGGATATTCTTCGGTGGACTTATAATTCAACCAAAGGAAGGAATACATAGCTTTTATCAGCCTCTATGATACCAACATTCATATTTTAACCTCCAGTACAATTGTTAATCCTTAATTGAATATGCTTACTTCAAAATTAAGTTTATGTTCCAATGCAATGAACAGAGTATTTACTGGTTATTTTAGGATATTTTTCTTTCTTTTTTTCAAATGTACACACTAGTGTTGTAGTAATCGAAATCAAGACCGGTCTCGAGACCACTGTTTGAAGGTCTCGTCTTGAAAGTATTTTTACTCTGTCTTGTCTCTGTCTCAGACTGGGCGGACTCCTGATTTTAGATTAAGACCAGTCAAGACCACCTCCAATGCTCCTTTCTAAAAGAACAAATGACTTCAATTCATTTGTAGTTTGATTTTTATCTCTTGGTTACCACCGCAACCTTCCTGGTGTTACTGATGAGTGGTGAGTGACACGCCCGCTGCACACATGATGATTTTAAAAGTGATATTTATGGTCTTGGTCTTGACTTGGTCTCAATCCCTAAATGTCTCGGTCTTGTCTCAGTCTCATATCACTCTGGTCTCACATATGTCTTGGTCTCGGTTAGTGTGGTCCTCACTACAACATCAGTACTTAGTATACTTTCATATAAGAGTTTTACAAAAACGCTAACAGTCAATTATATCTCAACTGCATGTGGCCCACCCCTGAATTCTAGATTATAATTTGAATGTAGCCTCATTCTAGGAATCAAAATAAAGGCGCTTTATAGTATTTTGGCGTTGACACTTGCACAAACAAAAAGAAAACAAATTCAAGGGTATGAAAGGATTTTCATAACGTCCCTGCCCTTCCCCAACCGCCTGAGCCCCAGTAAACAGCCTAAAATCCCAGTTAAGTCTAGCTGGTTTTGTTCACTCAACGATACTTTCATCCACACGTGAGGAACCAGAGAGAAAAGCCTCTTGGCCTGCAAGACTCTTTCCCTGGATTGCATTAGTAACTCTTGCAGATATTTGGAATACTTTCCCTTTAGTATAAAGCGTTTGGTGTGTGAGTCCATGCTGTGTAGGGAAAAAGTCGATGAGATTGATAGAAGGCCCACACACAACCTAAATGCTTAAAGCTGCAGCTTCCTGAGCTTCTCGTGAAGGACAGCATTATCATACAGCTTACTGTTCAGGACTCAACTTTCAAACTAAAAATCAACTTTTAGCGTTTAATATGTCACAAAAAGGTCAAATAAAGAAAGAGTTATTCAAACTTACTGTCCACATACTCCCCATGGGACTGATAGGATTCATTCCCAATGTAAGCAGCATCTTGACCTCAGCAGTGGTCAGATACTCAGATTAGTTACCTGAGTTATAAGAGACATCTCAGAGGCCCTGAGATGATTATAACTGAGCACATCATGCCAATTTAGAAAGGTAAAAATATTGAGACATCTAACAACTCAGTGACATCAGAAATGTGAGAATGTGCCGACATGAGTTGTTATTTTGTGAGGGATAACGTTAAGGTAAGAATTGAATGTACACCACACTTTATTCATTGACTCCTGTTTTTTAGGTGAAAAAGGAAAGTTTAAAATGTAGTTTTTAAATATATTTTGGGGAGATAAAAAGCACAATCTTCCACTCTTATGTAAAGCATAAAGATGAACACTGAAGTAAAGGACAAGCACCTCTAAATGTTTTTTTCTGCTCAGTATTTTGTCAACAAAACATGTTTTGTTTCTCTGATTGTAAATGACAACAGAATGACTCAACAAGTGTTGAGAATGATAAGCAGTCCCTTAAAACGGCAAAGATTCTGAAATATATAAATACCTGGATCAGGTTGTGTTTTAAGTTGTTTATTTCTTGGACTAAAAGCTCTATGGGGTGGCAGTAGCTCAGTCTGCAGGGACTTGTGTTGGGAACCGGAGGGTTGTCGGTTCAAGTCTGGAGATTGGTCTGGTAGCTGGAGAGGCGCCAATTCACTTCCTGAGCACTGTCGAGGTGCCTTTGAGCAAGACACCTCTCAAGGCGTTTTATAACACATTATCACTCCCCCCCCCCCCCCCCTCCAGGATTATTAAAGTATTTCTGATTCTGAAATAAATGGAGAATGCGAAATAATGGAATTTCAAACATGCAAGTAATAATGTGATTAATTCCAATAAACAATTGGAATCTAGTGATTCCAACAGTTTCTCGCTCATCTCCTGCTGCTTCTTTTTGTACCGGCAGAACAAACATGAAAAGTATTCTGCTCTTTGCATAATTTATTTACCTACCACACACACACACACACACACACACACACACACACACACACACACACACACACACACACACACACACACACACACACACACACACACACACACACACACACAAATTATCAGTTTCTCACAATATGAACATTAGGGATTTAGAATGATATCTCCTGCATCCTGTACAACACTTGTATAAATGTGAACATTTGTGTTAAAATTATATGAACAATCATGATTTGTCATTGTTTCATCATATGACATATCTCTTTTAAAAGCTGTGATTTTTTTCTGTGGCTCATCTCCTGCTGCTCCCTGTTCTACCAGCAGAAAGAAAAACAGGCAGAGTATTCAGCTTCGCATAATTTATTTACCTACCTCGCCCTACACACCCACACACAAAATAACAACACATTAACAGTATTATCAGTCTCTCACAGCATGAACATTTGGGATTTAGAATTACACCTTCTGCATACAACACTTAATGTGTGGTGAAATAATATATAAACAAGCATGTGATCCATACTCCACACACAGTTTCTGTTATTGCAAATGATGTACAGTTGATTACTGTGTCCTACAAATAAACTTAACATGATGTGATGAAATAGGCAATGTCGACGTTAACTCAACCTGTGAAGCATGTGAGGGCAGTCAAAAAACTTCTAAAGGACAGATTAAAAACAATATCAAGTAGTTGGCAGTTATGATGAAGTAATGAATGAGTGTTAACATCTTTACAGAAGAATTTATATTTGTTGACTAATACTAATACACTGAAATCTTAATAACGTCTTGGCACTTTATTTTAGAAAGTTAAAAACAGCTTCTAAATGTTTATGGAGAGCTTATAAAATAGGGCAAAAGTTAAGTTCATCAAAAATTATCTTCAAAATAGAGAAGGTCCCAAATTGCAAATTGATGTGCGGTACCTTCCACTCTTTAATCAAACATAGGCACATAGGCAAATTACTATTAACACTTTGTTTTAATTCTCCACTCATGAAGAAGAAAAGGCTGCAAGACAATATATTTTTATATATATTTCTATTTCTGATATCCACTTCACTGTCCTTCTTTTATTTGTAAGTGATTCTAATGTTTTCTGTGTTTAAAAGAGCGTAACAGGAGTCACTAAATGATTTCTGCTTATTGCCCATAGAATACTGACACTTGGATTCCCAGATCCAAGATGGGGCTTCTTATTCTACTTCTTATCTGTTTTTAAAAAGGAACTAGCAGCATCCAAACTTAGATTTTCAAGGCTTCTGTGTCGAAATTAGCTGTAAAATCTTATAAAAGGAATCATTGTGCAGTTGAGGTCGGGGTGAATTAATTAAATGGACAGTCTCTGCTGACAAATTCAGGTCTATTCCCTGCAATTTGGCAAACACAGGATCCCCTTTAGGTGTCACCTTTGGCCTAGTCGCTCATTGTACTCCAATACATTCATGATATCATATATATGATTTATATGATAGCCAGATTTTCGGGCCCATCAGCTCTGGAACTGGCTTAGTGGAAAAAGGTCTTATATGACCTTCAGAAGCAAATGACACCATCATTGGAAAGAGTAATACATTTTTGTTGTTGTTTTTGTTTTGTCTAAAACTGCTGCCAGGGGGGTAGATGAAACAGCCTTTTAAACATTTTCCCCAACAAAGATTCTTGGTGCTTTACAAAAAAATTCATATTAGTGTCCACATCCCAGAGTTCCTCTAAGTAAGTCAATGATGTTCTTCACTGATTATCACAGAAAATTGAACTGTAAAACCGACTTCAAACACCATTTTCCCCCACACAGATGTGTGTCCATCATGCCTTAGACTTATGTTGGCATTTTCTTCTGTGCTCTAATGTCTCCATCAGCCCGGTCTGCCTCGGCCCTGAGCTGATCCAGATCCTCCTCAGAGCTACAGCCGCTGAGCTGCGTCCCCGGGGAGAAAACCCTCCGTCGCGATTGGGCGCTGAGGTCTAGTAGGTCAAAGGAGTCCGAAGAGAAGAGGCTGTCCTCGCTCACCACACTGGAGGGACGGCTGCGGCGTCCATCAGCGCCCCCTGTGGCCTGGAGGAGCTGCTGCAAGGCCTCGGGGAATATTGTGGGGACCGGAGAGGGAGTTAAGTGGTGGCCATCGGGAAGATCCAGGCTGTGAGAGAATTTGCCGTTACGTTTCAGGATACCCTTCCTTCTTCTCACCGCCTCTGTGCGCATGGTGGGGCTGTCTTCTGCTGCTGGGAGACGAGTGTGCTGTCTGTCAGAGCACAAATCACCTACATCAGTCTCTTTAGCTCCTGCTCCACAGATTCTTCTTTCTGAAGATGAGACATAAACTGACTCCCCGCTACACAAGTTCTTAAGTATCCCTTTCTTGGGCATTTTTGACGAGGGCTGGCAGAATGATGAGGCCGGTGGCAGACTTGTGGACAGGACTTCAGCATGTGTGTGGGAAAGTGTATGTGATCGATAAGGCTTTGGAGCAATGCTACAAGCTTGAGAGGAAGAGTTGTCTTTGGGAGGGCTGTGAAAGACTGAGTCAAAACTCCTCTGGGGCTTTAAAATACTTTTTGGTTTCTTTCTTTCAACACTGGAGGTGGAGGAAATGGCAGCAGAGGAAGCAGACGTGGCACAAACACCTCCACAAGCTCCAAGTGCGGTCTGGGGAATTGCATTCTCCTTGCGCGACTTCCTAACGCTTGACATTCCTCCCCGCACCCTTCCTCCTCCCCTGCCACGATCGCTCTTCAGAGGTAAACTAAAGTAAAAGGGGTGGGGAGAGGGCAGGGGCAGACGGGAGGAGTCTGACGAAAGGCACCCCGGGTCAACAGTCAAGTCGCTGGCAGCCGCGACCCGATGCTGCCAGTCGATGTAGCGAGCCAGCAGGGGGGAGGGACATTCTTGATGTGAAGTTGACGGGCAGTCGCACACACTCTCTTCAAAACCCCAGTTCACCCACCAGTGGTTGGCCACGTCTTCTATCGTAGCCCTCTCGTCCACACGTACTGTCAGTAACCAGTCGATAAGAGCGCAGGCATCTGGAGGGAACAGATTTGAATGTTATTCAAAGTATCCACTCCGATTAGAACTAGTCACATAAAGGAAGAACAGAACTAGTCACATAAAGGAAGAACAGACACTGTGGTTGTTTGACAGGTTTATATAACATTTATGAAAATTTGTAGGCTTACCGGAGGGGGGGTTGGGTCTGCGGTAGCGACCTTGGCTGATCTGCTCTGTGAGAGTGGCATGACTGGCGCCATTAAAAGGCATGCTGCTATACACCAGGGCATACAGCAACACACCCAGCGCCCAGCAGTCCACCTAGCATACAAAACACATTTTAGAGGAACACAGTCACCCAACAGAAAAAAACTTGACCATCAATCAAAAGAAATTGCATGCTTTAAAGTTGAATATACATGTTTACTGTTAGATAAAATACAACCAAAAGAGTTTCTGTGCCCAATGTTTCATTTATCTTAAGTCAACTGATTTTAGAGATTTAAGATTTTACCAGACCCTTTACTGTGGTCCTTTGCAGCAAATCAAGGCAAACGTACTTTGAATCTGAGCTGATAATAACTTGTTTGTTGAGAAATGGGGCCATTTATGTAAAAGTTATAAAAGTCGGAGTAGTGTGCACACGTAGAATTATCAACCAACTGTATTCCTAGCAGCTGTATGGAGAACTTTTCAGCACATTTTTGGCTTTATGGCCTTCAATTCAACCATTTGGTTGTTTTTGGTGACCTAGACGATAAACCGCATGTAATGGTATATCAGATCACTTGAGATTGAATACTGTATTAATGCAGCACTAATGTAACTTAATGAAGCACGATAATTGTTTTGAGCAGTTTTCTAATGTGGAAACTAGTGGTGGTGAAGTGTGTGTCGACCCACCTCGGGCCCCTGGTACGGCAGTCCTTTCACTATCTCTGGAGCAGCATAGAGCGGACTTCCACAGTAGGTCTGCAGCAGGTTGCCTCTCTGGAAATGATTGGAAAGGCCAAAGTCTGCCAGCTGCAGGGAAAGAGGAGAGAGGGGACATGAAAGGATACAGTTTGATAAGAATCATTATGTGCACCTTGCTACAACTGCTTCAGAGCTAGAATCAAACAATTGATTCATTTTTATTTTATGAAGCGAAAAAGCGCAACAAACTTGACACCTGACATATCAAGAAGCTATAAACCTTACCCTTCAAGTATTAAATACAGAATGCCATATTGCCACATTGTGAATGAGCTGAATGCTGCATGTGACAAAGGATCTGATGCCTCTTTTTGATCACAACTGGGCTTTCTTTACCTTTTACAAATCCTTCATTCCATAACTTCTGTCAAAACTACCCCCCCTCCAAACACACACACACACACACATTAAATTCCAGATCCCTTTTTTGTGAGTGCATACTGCAAACTCTAACCCATGTGGCAATAAAACAATAACTGAAAGCAAATCCTTTTAAAGGAGCCAAAAGTGGGCATGTTGAGCTTTTGCCAATGTAAGTGTGAGTTAGGGAAGAGAAGAGGGCCAAAAACATCAGGCCTCTCGCACACGTAATGGAACAATCACTCACTTGAGAGCTGCGATGGCCATAAGCAGACCTACCGAGGCTCCTCTCTATCTTAAGAGATTATTAACACGAGCGCCAGGCCACTATCAGCTCCTCGGCTGTTAAAAATACTCGATGTGACGGCTTTATTTCCGTGGAGCTGAGGTTCAGGGAAACAGAGAGCTCACAAACAGATGACACTGTGTATACAAGAGTTTGTATTGGACATAGAGCAGCAATATAATGTGTGGACAGAACATGGGCTACTGCTTGTTTGTGTGTGTGTCCTGCTGTGTAAATTATTCTCCTGGTTCAGTCCTCTTTTCAAACATTCCTCAGTGTTGGGTGCTTGTGTTAGACACGCTCTTTCTTCCAAACATACTAACGACTCGTGTACACGTGCCTGGGGATTACATGGAGTGCTGTGAGACGCCAGGCCTCTCATACCAAAGTTGTTAAACAGAGTGTTTTTCATCTTTGGGGCTACCTGTTGAGTTTCTTGTATAGAGTCATGTGAGGAGAAAGTGAAACTGAGTGCTTCTAGAGGAAAATGATACGGTTTGCCTCAGCTTAGTCTTTGTTGGTGTAGACCAGTGGTTCCCAACCTTTTTTGGCTCGTGACTTCACTTTGACTCCTCAAACCTCTGGTGATCCCAGTCATTCAAAACACATACAGCTTTTTGCTCAAATCCATTTGTTTTCAATCATGTAATAGGTTTACTACAGTGTTGCAATTTAACATTTACTTTAGACCACATTTCAGGGTTTTTTTTGTATATTATTGTGGACAGAGGAAGACAGGCTGGGATGATATTTCTGCACAATGGATGACAGACAGACAGAGACTCTCTTGTTTCTTGTTTTGACATTGGCTATGTCCTAAAGTAGCCTGTGTTCAGTATATTTTAATATACAATATACTATGACTTCATTTGAAATCCATGCCACCCCATGTGGGTCTCAACCCCAAGGTTGGGAGAGCCTGGTGCCTTCCATACACTAGAAAAAATATTTTAAAAGACTACAATCTGAAACCCTCTCACATCTAAAGACAATATGTCAGCATCTCACAGTTTTTGGTCACAAACAAAAAGCAACACAACATATTTTTTGCAAAGAGACTGGGGTCACTAACTGCAAGACTACAGCTAGATTCCTTTTGATATTTACAGTTTTTTCCAATTGCTAACACACTAAAATGACATGCATAGCACAATTATTTAAACTGACACACAGAGAGCAAAACCTCTTCTCAAGTCTCTAAAAGTCTGAACACATTTTCTGCTTTACACACAACAATCTGCATAAGACACAACAATCTGACATAAAGTCACATGTTTGCCATTTCAAAACACTGCCATTCAAAATGACACTTCATGAGCTAATTGGCCAATATATGTGCCACCTGGCTAAACACCTCAATGGTTAATTGTTATCGCTTCAATCAAGAAGTAAGCACTATGAAAAGACCACAAGTAAGCACCTTTTTTTTTTTTTACAACAACAATGGAAGACATTGCAGAAAGAGGAAGAGGAAGAGTGAGAGGTAGGGGTAGAGCTGGTAGAGGAGTTCATGGCCAAAGAAGACAACAACTTTCAAATGAAATCAGAGCAACCTTAGTTGATCATGTCATCAACTATGGGCTGACAATGCGAGAGGCTGGACAGAGAGCGCAGCCCAACTTGAGCCGTTTTACTGTACTGGTATATGTAGCACTGACTTGTTTGGTGTTTGCATGTGTGTGTGCATGTGTGTGTATCTGCAAATGTGCATCAATGTGAACAATCTGAAGAATTTTCTACAATTCTAACTATTTTAGTATTATGGCAAAGCATACTAAAGATGAGAGTGCTTTTCATTATGCCAAACAGTGTGTAGTTGGTTAGACAAAAATCTGGTAATATGAATGAAGTGTGTGCCATTTGGTGCAAAAGTTTGATTTTGATAATGCTATATGTAGTTTTGGTTGCAGTGCTTCATTTTGCAGGATATATGAAGTATTTTGCAGTTTGGGTGTCTGGTTTTGTGAATTGTATTTTGTATTAAGTATTTTGATAAAACCAGCCTAGTTTGCAAAATTGTGTTTTAGCAATTGGAAAAAACTGTAATTACCTATCATGCATTACTCATAAATACAATGAGGCGGACTCATTAAAACCCCCACACGGTAAGAGAATACATCATATTTCAGGATCTAATTAACAATTTCTTAAATGAGTTCTGATAAAAAGTGTCTTCCATGATAAACAATAAAAAGTGTTAAACCTGTACGCATCCGTGTAAACGCTCTGTGGTAGGTGTGGTGCTTAAACAAGAAAGGTGTGTTAACCTCTAAACAAGCATAAGAAGGTATGGTAAAATGCAAATACAGTCACAGGGTGCTGTGTAATCTGTTCCGCCTGTCGGTGACGATTAAGTGCTGTATGGTGGTGCTATATGCAGTTGTAGAGTGTCTCCTGTGGCAGAAGTGTGTTGTAGCTTGAACACTCGATAAAAAGAGCCATTGTCCTCCACCTTTTGCTCTATGTCGTTTTTCACCTGAGAGATATTACACCCCTCTATGGTCTGTTAGACACAACAGTAGGGGTAAATTAATTACCCACTCCCACGCCACACTGAGGGACTTTCTTTATTGTAATACTGTTGCCTTTAAGAGTTTAAAGCAGGCCAGACTATCACAGCATGATTGAGTGCATAAATGAATGTGTGTCATTGCTAGGTCAGGTTCTCAAAATACGATTTACAACACGCAGACATAAAAGTATACGGCCCCTTTCAAACATGAACTCCTGATGTTTTCTGGAATTTCCTTTCACTCATGCACCTCACAGTGAGAGATTGACTTTGTCAGACATAACTCTCACAACTTGAAATAGTCCTTTTGGCTGAGATGAGGAGTTGGGGTAAGTCTTGGTTTATTTGTTTGTTTTTTAAACTCCTGCCTAGATTATGTCTGATTATTTTGAAACGGTCTGTCCCCTCCAACACTGCTTCTTTTTTGCTTTGCTTTGTGTTGTCAGGCACTTGAATTGTTTCCACACATTTGCGATTAACAAAAACTAGTTTATGTTCTCCAGGGGAAAGGTTCACAGTGAGTAACACTTTAGCCAGTTAGGAGGAAAAAGGAGGAGGAGGAGGTTTTTCTTTAGTGAATACAACTTTTTCATATGAAGGACAAGATCACATAAGAGATAAAAGCTATTCCTTTGTCCACAAGGGTCCCCAAATACACACAAAAAGAAGACATTTTTGCTGAGCAGTGATGAGTGATATGTGCAATATTTTTTAGAAACACACTTATATGCAGGTTTTCCCAAAGCTGTGTGTGTGCGTGTGTGTGTGTGTGTGTGCGCACAAGGCATCTGTGTCAATAAGCAGTAAAAGATAATCATGAATACGTCAGAGCCAACCTTTTACAAGAAGCAGATCTTGTGTATACGGCCACATGCATTGCACAGAGGCTCTGTCACTTCCTGCTGCAGCTCCTCTGAGAGGCTGATGTGGTGGGCCTGGGGTTAGCAAATGAATGAGGAGCCACCGAGAGGTTTGCACATGGTGTTTTCTTTTGACGGGCAGACAGAGCTGACTTAAATTAAAACCCTCTGATTGGCACGATAGCCACTGGATTCCCTGAATTCCACCGTTGGATGTGCACAGATCCCATATAAGGAGCGGAATACCCAAATAAGGCCAAATAAAACACCCCGGGGTACTTTTGTAAGACTTTGCAGTATGTTTGTGCTGGTTCAGTGTGCATGGCTTAACAACACACGTAATGTACGGTGGGTAGACAATTAGTTTACTCTGTGGATTGTATGTTCTGAATGCACAGCACTCTATTTTGGAGCTGGCGACAAACTCTATACCCAACTGCACTATATGAAGCTTTATTCATTGCTTATTTAAGCTGTGTTAAAAAAGGTGGGTACCTGAAATGTATCAAAACAAGGGGTCTTTATCTGATCTATTATTACATACAATTTGTATGGTTCAACACTTGTGTCAGAGGACTTATCTCGTCTTTATAGAGGGATACAAATATCTTGTTTTGGAGGGTTATGCTAAAATGTATTTTTCAAAACATGTTTGTTGGAAAGTGAAGGCATCAGTGTGTGTCTTTTCCTCACACTTACCTTCACATTTAGGTCTTGATCTAGCAGGATGTTCTCCAGCTTGAGGTCTCGATGCACAACATCATTCTGCAAGAGAGCAGAGACACATGAGGTCCTCATTCACTTCTTCTGCCCCTCCAGCTTACAGTAAGATGTTCTCTCTCTGCACACAGACACTAAACTGAGGGGCTGTGAGGTTTACAAATCAACCCCGCGGGCCTTTGTCTTTCATTTATATTTTTAAAACCATTAACATTCCACTCGAGCCTCGTGTCTCAGGGCCATGTGTCTCACGTATCGCAGAGCCTTGAGAAAAGCTCTGCGATTGTTTAATCGTCCACAGGTATGAGGAAGTGCTTTGTTTGGGTTAATTCATCTGATGAGATGCGATTTGATTCCCTGATGGTATTAAGCACCTGGGGGGCAGCAGGAGGCCACAGAGTGTGGACAGCTGGAGGTTTTGAAGGGAGGAAAAATGGCATTCCTGGGACATAGAAAAGGAAGCAAATCATAAGAAGAGACAATGCTGCTTTGGATAACTGTGGCCACCCAGGACGCAGAGTTGCTGTCAGTTTCTCTTAGAAGCACTCACTCGTGAGCCTGAATAGCCTCCTTTCTTCTGTTAATTCAATCGTCTTTAGAGCACTGTAAGTGGAAGGAAATGACCTATGATGTTAAACAATGTTTCGTTTTACGTATGTACAGTGTGTGTGTGTGTGTGTGTGTGTGTGTGTGTGTGTCTGTGTAAGGCAGAGATACTGAGAAAGAGGAGAGCAGGGGGAAATAAATCCTTGTGGTTAACCAGGTTATTATTCTTTCTATTTTTAAATAACAAGGAACAGATCTGGAAAAAAAAAAAAAAGAAGCTTCAATAAAAGAAGCAGCAAATGACTGAGCATTATTTTCATTCTTCACATGAAGCCTCAGTAATCCGTCCATGTGCCATGCATACCTCTCAGGCACATTCAATAATTCATTCATGCTGGAACATTCATGTCTATTTTGGGACAATATTTGAGGGCACGAGGAGCACGAAATCAACCTTCCTGCGTACTACAAAGCTGAATTATGATCTCCCAGTTTAATATGAAGCATTCATGCTCACAATGCAACCAAAGAAGCTAAACTGCCAAAATACGACTGATTTGAAAAGAAAAACATTTCTGATTCTCACTTAAACTGTACTGCATTCATAGGATTTATGCATTTCCTCTAGAAATCCGGTTAATTGGCACCACTGCTGACTTAATGTCGGCAAAAAAAGACAAAAGGGAATTTGTTACTTTGCCAGGGCTTTACAGCAATTTGGGGTGTAGGAAGGAAGCTTATTCAGGCAATATGTTTGCTAAATGTGTCAGTGTGTGACTGTAAAAAAACCTTCAAGGGATAATGCGCTCTTAACCCAGAGAGATCTGAAAACTCCAGTCAAGTTTTCCTGAAGGATTTCCTGATTAGGATTTAGTGGATTAACTGTATTTGCTCGTGCACAGTGAAATACTGCAGCTTGTAATTCAGCACGTGTCACAAGTTGTTCCAAAGATTCAGACTCAATTCCAGTATGTACATGCCTGTGTGTGTGTGTGTGTGTGTGTGTGTGTGTGTGTGTGTGTGTGTGTGTGTGTGTGTGTGTGTGTGTGTGTGTGTGTCAGTAGACCTTGTGGCAGTAGTGGACAGCAGATGTGATTTGTCTGAAGATGCCTCTGGCTTCTGTTTCTGGCAGTCGTCTTCTCTCCTGGATATAGTCGTACAGCTCTCCCCTCCTGGCGTACTCCATCACTATCACAATCTTATCCCGGCTCTCGAACACTGCACAACACACAGTACACATATTTACTCGATACAGCATTCCGCAGAAGGGGTTTATAAGAGAGTCAGTCAGTGCCCCAAATCTCTGACAAAGATCTAGTCTTTCCTTGATTTTTTTTACGTGTGTTATTTTTTCTCTGTATTTTTATTCGGTTATTATTTTTATTCAAGGTTTATTTCTGTCCCTGTAGCTCCTTGCCTCTCTATATATTTGTCTTGAAAAATATCCAATAAAAATTTGATCACAAAAGAGACACGCGTCTAAAAGAGATGCGTCTCTGCTGGTGTTGAAGTTGAGAGAATAAAGCTGGATATTTGATTTCAATGTATGGATAAATGTATAAATTATATATGCTCGTAGTATGTAAACAAAAAAATCTCTTTTTTCCAATCCAAAAGTTATTCACACTGACTGCAAGATCCTTACCTGGTTGAGGTTTACCGTCAGAGACTTTGTGATTCAGCACTGGGAGTATAAGTGAGCAGGATGGTTGTTCCCTGTGTCCCATTTTATCACAGAATTGTTGTGAAATGTTCACATCTTTTCCCAAGCATTGGTTTAATCACACCACACTAAGTGTCACCTTTATAAATAATAACATTATTTACCCAAACACCTGATAGACTTCTAAATAATAGGGCCAGTAGTAGTATGTGAAGTTTGTTCAGTAAAATTGCCCAAATGAACAATGTGCTTGGAAGTCCTCTCCATTTAGTTTTTTTTTAAATTATAAGGAAAATAGGCGAACAGTTTACAAATATATAGTTTCACTTTAATAAATAGGCTAACTCTGGCTTTAAGGTCACACTACTAAAACAGGACAGGAGTAAGGGTACACTTCTTTGGGACTAGATTCTGCTACAGATTTGGTGCTTTAGGAATATTTACAGCAGCAGGAGAGTTTTTCTTGAGTAGACCAAAGACGCTACTGTGTCCATGTTCATGCAACTGTAGGGACTTAGTCTGTGTTCTGGAGAAAGAAGCTTTATCTGTTGTGCTGTGGACTCATTCGAAATACTGGGTAAAATCAATACATTACTGGTAGTTGGTCTTCTAATAGGATTTGTAAAAAAGTAGAATATTTTTATGGGAATTGTTACGTAACAACCCATCAAATCGTCACTGCTTTTGTCTAATTTACTTTCTTTTTGTAGTGTGTGTGTGTGTGTGTGTGTGTGTGTGTGTGTGTGTGTGTGTGTGTGTGTGTGTGTGTGTGTACTGTGTTCAGACTTACCCTCGTGGAAGCGTATGATGTTAGGGTGTCTGAGCGAGGAGGTGATCTCGATCTCTCTCTGGATGTGAATTCTGTCCAGGTCGTCGGTGATGCGCTCCTTACGGATCGACTTGATCGCCACCTGAAAGAGAGGACGCCCGATTGAGTCCATGCGGTTATATGGGGAGAACTTCTTCAAGGAAATTAATTCATCTGAAAAGCAAGTAATGAACTCATTTCTCCATCACATCTTCACAAATCAATCAACCAAGACCAAACCAAACCATCCGTATTACTTCCATAAACAGGCATGGAACAAAGCAATAATACTGTTGATACAAATACATACACACACGCACACAAGCACACACACACACACACACATATTTTTACACACGAATCAAATCTCTGGGTATTAGAGGTGATTATGTGGGTTTTAAGGACAGGGTGGTGAGAGCAGGTCTGCTGTGATCTGAGCTCGCTCAGAGGCAGAAGGTTGACAGCTGCACTGTTCACACTCTACTTCATTAATCCAGGGCACTCACTGTACCCCAATGTAACCCCCCAACTAACGAATGCACACACACACACACACACACACACACACACACACACATACACACACACACACACACACACACACACACACACACACACACACACACACACAAAACAGACGACACAACAGGAGTCCCCTAAACCCCTTTGGATAGAGTTACTGGCACCAAAATGGCACCATACAAGGACAAGACAGGGTCAGACGAAACAGAAAATCAGGGTGTCCTATTTAGAAATACAATGAACTCTAAATAGGACAACAACACTGAAGGTGTTGTAAAATATGCCAATGAGGCTAAAGGACTGACCAGACACAGCCTCAATCATAATCCTGTATTATTGTTTTTATCAGCTCATGTTTGAGTGGTCCTCCCCACTGGGTCACAGCTCCAGAATCTATATCAGCTGCTGGAAAAAAATGTCTGCAAGACATCAGAGGACACAATTCACATGCTCCGCCAACCACTATAGTTATGCAACACAACACAAACACATTCCAGGGAACTTCTGACTCTGGAGCTGACCTTAAACTTCTCTAACCGACATAGCGCTGTGAGGACAGCAAAATGTTAACAGTTAATGTTTTTGGGTTTGTGATGAAATATGAGACACAACAGTGGACACTCCGGACCGATTTGGCACCAGAACTGGATGCTTCGTCAGAGATTAAGACAAACATATTAAGTGGCTGTCGGATGAATGGCACATGTCCAAGCTTGAGGAGCTAGTGCATGTGTACACTTGCATGCTCATGAATTTTTTTCTGACCCAAATACCTGCTGGCTGTGGAAGGAAGGAAAGAAGGAAGGAAGGAAGGAAGGAAGATCGGAAGGAAGGAACCGAAAACAAGTTGCAGGGATGATTAAGGACGGCGTGGGCAGCAACTACAGGGCAGGACAAAGAAAGAAAGAAAGTTCGGAACTCATTAAAAAGAGAATTTAACTGTAAAACCATCCTTGCTCTGACTTACCCCTCCGACTTTGAACTACTGCCTGTTTAGCAGAGCAAAAACAAGAGAGACACACAATGAGCGCTGTTCATCCTTTGGGGGACTTTTGGCATTTTCAATTTTGGCAAATGGTGTATGCAGAGGGAGGGAGTCGGGGGAAATGTGTGTGTCTCATATCTTCTTTCTTAATGCAAATGTGCTGCATATGCTTCTTATTTAAGCACCATCTCTTAAGTTTCCTTCGAACCAACCATTTTTATTGTTAGTTCTTCAAAATGATATGCTGCTTGTGTATGATAAACAGTTACCAAACGCATGCAGTACCAACATGAGAAGATTGTGTATGACTCATGCATTTGTTATCAGATAGTCTTTAGTATTATTGATCAAATGCATATAATAGGGCTACATGTAGGGCATGATGTATGTACAAAGCAGGTTCTGCACAGCTGTATCATTTGAAAAACATATATTTACATTTTCTGCAGAGGGTTCTGCACACACACACACGAAAAAGATAAGAAAAACACACACACACACACACACACACACACAGACAAATACAAATCCCAAGACTCTGAGCATCACTAAAGATCCCTGCAGCATCTGTGAAAGATTTAGCAGCTGGATTACACAGGCTTCTTGCCAGATAGACCCCTGACCTTAAGACTCAAGACGCACACGGAGTCCCCTTTCCACTAAGAACCACAGCTATATCTTGTGCATCGCAATGGGAGACAGAAAATGATCAAATACAGACAAACTAACGTTAATGCAAAAAAAATAAAAAAATACTGTTTCAGATTAGAAATCCAAATGTACTCAAGCCAAATGAAAATAAAGAAAACATTGAGGCTAAAATAAATAGCTCCAGGAAAATGAAAACTAGCATGTTTGGCTTTCTAATAACTACTCTTCAAGTTAAACAAGCAGTTGTTTGGAACGCAGACTGTAAAAATATTGACACCACTTCAACGTGCAGCATGAGCAAGCAGGGGTTAGCTTAGCTTAGTGTAACACTGGACAGCTCCTGTCAGATTCCGTTGCCTGTGTGGAGTGCCAAGCTAGCTGTCCATTCTTTATGCTAAGCTAAGCTTAGGCTACTTGCTCCTAGCCTCATGAACAGACCAATACGTGGAAACTTGCTTGCTTCTTTCTTTCCTTATCTTCACAAGTTAAGTAATTCACATATGTGATGAGGTTATTGTAGTTATGCAACTTTCTTTTTTATTATATAAACATAAGACTTAACCCTGCAATCATGACATTTAAGTGTTTGTTTTTTAACAGTCAGGCTCCAGCCAGCTGATGACAAGCCAACTCCAGAGTATATTAATGACCCTTCTTTCTTTCATTTCATCGGTTAAAATTAGTCAGCCACCTCCATGCAGCAACACACTCCAGCCTCCTCCTCCTCCTCCTCTTCCTCCTTCCTGTGCTATAACTGTCTCCCCTCCTGCCTCAGTCCCTCAAACAGCCCCTTTCTCTTGTTTCCAAAAATAATGTCCATTTTGTTTCAAAGAATCTTTGGTATGTGGATGTGGGACTCGGAGGAACAGTAAAAGTAGCCAGAGGAATTCTGCCAACCCAACATTCACAATCTGATTGCACACAGATTATCCTTATTACAGTGTGTGTGTGTGTGTGTGTGTGTGTGTGTGTGTTTACTTAAAGGGGTATCTGTCTCTCGTGCTATAGATAACAGCAAAGTGAGGGATCAAAGCCTGGATATTCAAATTGTAAATATGTTTTTTTTTTTTGGGTGTGTATGTGAGTGTGACTGAGTGTGTGTGTGTGTGTGTGTGTGTGTGTTTGTGTGTGTGTGTGTGTGTGGGGGGGGGGGGTCAGAGTCCTATTGGAAAGAGACCTATTGTTGCAATTGTATCCCCTTGTTCAAGTGCTGAGTGAGTCAGACCAAAGGAATCTCAGCCTGGCAGCACAGGAAGCAAGAACTGTGTTCAGCATGTTCAGCATCAGCCCATGAGCTCACCCACAGAGACACACACACACACACACACACACACACACACACACACACACACACACACACACACACACACACACACACACACATATAGATATACATGCCATCTATAGGAGCTTAACTCCTCCTGCGATGTCATATTTAATAACCAGTGGGCCAAGAGCATCATGTCACATCTTCTGCATAAAGCTTTAAGGGGATGCAGAGGGTGTAAATTATGTAAAACACACACAAACAGTCACATCATTACTTATTTATCATCATTAGCTGTGGGCCATTTCATCCCACATGTCTAGTAGTTAAGATTTCAAAAAAGTGTCCCTCCAGCACAGAATGTTTTGGGATGTTTTGCATCTTGTCCAACCACTCACCGTCCTCAGACTTGTCCTCTCCACCGCCTTCTTCACTTTGCCGTACGTGCCTTTCCCAAGCGTCTCCATCACCTCATAGCGGTGTTTTAAGTTGTGTTTGTGCTGGTGCTTCTTCACGTCCATCGGCTCTGCTGTGGCAGCCTGCGCCCGCTCCACCGCCTCCATGTCCGGCTTTCTCTGCCTCTTGTCCGCGAGTTGGCAGCCCAGAACCGAGGACTCACCACCGGCCTGATGGTCGTTGGATGCCACCTCCTGCAGACAGCCCAGCTCGGAGTGGTCGCTTGCGTTCATTGCGTCTCTGCTCTCTGCCTCACGTCTGCCCATCCTCTCCGCGCACCTGTCAGGAGCCACCTTCACTGAACCGGTCTCCAAATTATTTATTTATTTTTAAGCAGCTAAAGCGCTCGCTGGACTAAAATGTCATCCATTTAAAACAACAACAAAAAAAAACTACAAACTATTGTAATCGCTTAAAAATTGAGCAGTCAGTCCATTTGAGCTGCCGCTGTGTTTGTCCTCTCTCACACTCTCTTTCTAACTCAGCAACAGGAGCGATGGGAACCACATGCTCCGGAGCGATGGGATGGGGGGTGGAGCCTCCTCATTCCAAAGGCTGCTCAGCAACATCCCGGCGCGTCACACTCTTTTGGGATCGTTTTGGGGGTTTTCTCCGGGGAGGGGGTACGTTTTTGACCGGAGAGACGTGGATGAAGGAATGTTTGGAATGTCATGCGGGTCAGACCCCTCGCCCGAAATCAACCACTAAAGTCAGACATGTTTGTTTGTGCATCGCCATGCGGTGAGCTCCGGAAAAATAAATCCTTGAAAACACTTTGAAGAAACTTGGAGGAGGTAGAGACTTTGAAGTCAGAGAGAGTGATCACAGTTGTTTAGACTGCAGGATAAAATTAGTTTCATTTCAAGTCCACATGTAAATAAAACATGAATACATAAAGGTTTCTGATGTATGGAAAGGCCATTAGTGTAGCCTATTAGGCCTACTTGTAGCCTAACTTAATAACCATACAAATATTCACCACAGTATTACAGGACCACTAAACAATCATTTACCATGAATACTTTACAAAACTATGGAAGACCAAAGATGACTTCCATACTTACATTTTATTAACTACATTTACCGATGATAAGGAGTAGGGATAACATACATTTTGGTTATGTTATCAAGATCTCAACTTATTTATCTCATTATCTCAAAAGAGCACTGTTGGTTTTCCAGTGACAATGAGTACATTTCATTTTTTTCCAGCTTATTCTTCTTAACATCTCAAGATAACAAGCTGGTAAGCTGGTTTCCCCATCATAACAAATTGATTCATCTGTCTTTATTAGTCTTTTGTTCGAAGTCAGGTTGGAAATATTTTGAAATCTTTAAAGTTTTATTCCCAATTTTTTGTCCCTATATATATTGTTCCATATCTGAAGTACATATATCTAGTAAAATAACAGTCAAATTTGATATTGTATTTTTAGACTGTTTTGGAATGTATTTCCTCTCCCCAAATTTGTCACTACCGAAACATATTGATAAAAACAATATTATGTTAACCTGTTAATATTATGTTTACTTCCCTTATGTAAAGATTATTCTTTACAAATTTTTGTTGAAGGTTTTCACAATAAAATCAATAAAAAAACAAATTTCAAATTCAAATTTTTAAAATTCTTCAAAATCTATGTGCAATCTTTTTTTCTAAAATGTAAAACACTGATCAGTATCATAACATTTTAGTTGATAACTCAATATATTTTTATTTTTTTTAAAACAATCAGTGTTTCGGTAGTGACCAGTATTTTCTTTGTAGTGTTTTATCATATTCCATCAACCTTATTGCTTAATTTAAACTCATAACATGCCTGATGTTGGGAATATTACAAGCACGTTTGTTTAGTGGTCAATAAAATAATTTATTTTTGAAGAAATATGTTCATCCATGACCATATAGTACAAATATTACTTATCAATTTCTTATTTGCTGTAAATAGATGATTGAAATGATGATACTTATAGAAACTCACTGATTCTAAGACTTTGGAACACATTTATTTCAAAATGATGAGATTTAACTACTTACCATTCCATTTTGTCACTGCCGAAATGATAATGTCACTACCGAACTTGACCATATGATTCGCTAGTGACTGTTTCGGTTGTGACAATTCTGGCTAATTTTGAGCATAATTAAAGAATGCTAGCAAGCAAATGGCTAGCAAACACATCTTTGAAGAGGTGTACACCCATAGAAACATAATTTGCATAAAACCCCAAAAAGTTGAAGAGAATGTGTGTTCGGTAGTGACAATTTTTAAAATTACACACTGATTTTCAGACTTTGGGAACACATTTATTTAAAAATTATGGGATGTAGCTGCTTATCATTCAGCCAGGGGGGGACAGGGATGCAACGTCACTTCCTGGTCAAAAATTCTGGGGTGTGGCTTAAATCTATGCTCAGCCAAGCCACTAAAACGCTTGTGTTTCGGTAGTGACATGAAAACAAGGGGCATGATTTTTTGAGCATAGTTTTTTAATTCAAAAATGAAACCCACAATAAATCTAAGTCTTTCAACCTTTGTTTAAACTTAATCATAAAGATCTTTTAAATTACACAGTTGAAACAAATCTAAAAGATGTTTTAAGTGGTATTTACATAAATTGAAATTTAGGGGTCAGGATTGGGGACAGCTACTTCTCAATAGAAAGTACGCCATAAATGATATTTTTTTATTTATTTAGCTTATCATTAACATGGTGGTGGGAAGTAGCTCAGTCCGTAGGGACTTGGGTTGGGAACTGGAGGGTCGCTGGTTCAAGTAACTGGAGAGGTGCCAGGGCACTTCCAGAGAACTGCTGAGATGGCCTTTAGCAAAGCACCAAACCCCCAACCACTCTCATGAGCTAGCTGCGTAGCAGTGTGTATCAGCTCCATTGTGTGTGATTCAGGCCTATGTGTGTGAGAAACATGTCTCTCACTAACAACGTGTAAACCAGAATGTTCCTCAGGGATTCATAAAGTATATGAAATAAGAAAGCAGTTCAATGCGATTCCGATTATATTTCATTCTTCATTATAAAAATGGTAAATGGACTTGTAGTATAACACCTTCTTGTCAAAGCGCTTTTTTAAAACCGCAGGTCACACATACCTACATTACATTCACACACTGATGGCAGAGGTTGCTATGTAAAGTTTCAAATTTGGGATTAAGAGTCTCACCCAAGGACACATCAACATGTCTACAGGAGCAGGGGAGTCGAACCCCCAACCTTCTGGTTGAGATATGACCAACTCTACCACTGAGCCCAAAGCTAAAAACTCAGCCTCTGTTGCTCCAAAAGTAAGAAGCTCTCGTTGCCGCCACCATGTTTGTTTTGCACTTTGCTGCAGCCACTTCTGAGCAGGTAGTCGCCGGCTGTCAGAACCCGGGGAAAGGCGTATACAAGCAACAATATCCCATTTTCTTTGTGAGTTCTCCAAGTAGCAAATTCTGGTTTCTCAAAACTGGGATAAGGGCTTATCCTGTTTTCTGAAATCGAGGCATGATGTTTACATGCACAAACACAAAAACCAGATACCTAAAAACCTGATCAAACTGTGATACTCAAGGCCATACACACTAACCACACTAATAAGGTGAGTTAAGCCTATCTTCTTTTTTTTTATGCTTGTAGATCCGACATAAATAAATTGAGATCCCTAGAAAACAACCAGATTACTTGAGTAAAACCAAATGTATGAATGTATGTCCCATTAGGGCTTCTGTTCACGAGAAATCAATCCTGCAGTAACACGTTTTAGAACAACCAACTAGACCTCCAGATTTCAGTCGCAGATTGACCTTTCTGTGACTACATGTGCAGTCTGGGAGGCAAAGTAGGCTTGGATAAAACTGCATGAAAATTGCATTGTTGCTCTGAGTCAGGAGGATGTGAATCAGGGTGTGAAGAGGTCTCGAGGATTGAGGTTTGCCACCAGACAGACATCATAGCTGTCATGCATGGCTGCCCGTCTTTCCACCACTGTCCACACATTGTCTGCAGGATCCAACTCCAAAATCTCCTTGGTGATGATCTCATGACGGCCTGCAGTCACGGGAGAAAAAAATGTGAGTTATGGCTGACCAAAATCTAATTTCTGGGATTCGGCCTCATCAGTTAGCATGCATTTCTACATTCTGAGTCAGACAAAAAGGGGGCCTTGTTTTTGTACAACATTTAGGTCATTTCCCCATGAACTTACAAGGGTAATTTTATAGACAACATGCAAAATGAGCTGTTTAAAAACACATGGATTTAAAAAAAAACTGACCAGCCCCTTTGTAGTATCCACAGAGGTAGAGCTTTCCCTCCACTGATCCAGTATTTGATGCATTGGTTCGTAGGGCCAGTAAAGTTGTAGGAAGGGTAGGTCCCTCCCTCCAGGTGTCTGTGTCTGGGTTATAGATCTCCACAGAGCTCAAACAGCGACGTGATTGTCCCCTGTCCTCTCTGTCACATCCTATACCACCTGAGACACACACAATCAACACCACATCATCAACTCCACTCTTTCCTGTATACAGAATTAAGTCTTAGGAATAATGTTAAGGTCCACCTCGCAGTCTAACCTAATATGTAGATTTCTCCATTGAGTACAGCCGTGCCACAGCGGTACCTGGAGTACTTCATCCTGGCACACTCCGTCCACCTGTCCCTGCCGGGGTCAAACTGAAACAAATGGTTACTCAGCTTGTCAGGCTCATCATCTGGCTGGTGCTGAGGGCAGAGAGTGAGAGTTGGAGAGAAGAAGGAAGAAGATAAATATCACATTTGAGGTGGGAAGTAAACATTAAGGAGCACAAAAAATATATTATTTTCATCTGAAGCTCCTGTGAGGAAGTTTAGGTTTGTGTATAGATTTTGGTGCCAAATAATACCTCTTATCCCTACGACATCTAGTCCTGTACATGTGTAAGTAGTCTTTATTGAAACAAAAACTCATCCTGCTTTCTTTGGACAGTCAAAAATTTCACTCAATATGAAACTTTGCTGTTCAAAATTTTAACTGAGGCTTGTAGAAAGTAGCGTGCCAAACTTGAATTATGTTAGCTTTTATTAGTCTAACAGTATGCCAGCTAGACGTTTTCAACAGAGAATGCAACAACCAGCACCCTTAGACATTGTGACCGTATTCAGTGATAGGAATCAACTCAACAGACCTTTAAATAAATGAAAATCTAAAAGACGATAACTTCAAGGTTTTTAAATTCAGCAAATCTGCTTCATCCAGACTCTATTATTTTCCACTTCAAAGTTACTTTTGAGTCCATTGTTGGTTTTTTTTTATACAGGTCTGTGTACCTGGGGTGTCCAGCCTCCCAGCACGTACAGATGCTCTTTCAGGCTGACGACACAGTGGCAAGCTAAAGGCAGAGGCAGAGGGGCAAAGCTGAGCCAGCTACCTCCTCTCTTCAACGACCATCTCTCCACGCTGTCCGTAATGATGTAGTGATTATGCATTTTCATCTGACCCCCGATCAAATAGAGGGAATCCC